ACATGGGAAAAGGCACGGAACAAGTGGGTTAAATATATTTGTTGACACCTTCGTTTTCCCACGTACTACGCTGGTTTAACAAGCACGGTTTAAATCACATGCCTATTACATCTAATCAAACTGCACCGGACCCTTGCTAGATGAAGACAGGTTTGTTCCTAACACTACTTTCACGTGAGACGTGCTGCACGGCCATGAAACACAGCTTTTGCATGACCGTACAGAAAAGATTGCCACGCGTTGTCGTTGACTGCTCTTTTGATGCAGAACAGAATGACTTAAAGAAAATACGTGAATTTTTATGTCAGCGGTGGTCCCATTCAAACACTCCCGGGCTTGAGAAAGCGATACTCACTCGAATCCCCATGGCCGAAGTTGGGCACGTTTCCCGGCTTGTCCCGCCTGGCCCCCGGCTTGTCCCGCCTGCCTCCCCTCCGTTCCGGGGCGGCTCGGCGGCGCTCCACCTGCCTCCTCACGCGCTCCGGCGTCCGACCGTCGTCTGCGTCCGGCTGGCTGGGCCGGCGGCAGCTCCACAGAGGGGCCGGACGCTCGCGGGTCCCACCGGTCCCACCGGTCCCACCGGCCCCGCCGGCCCCGCGCCGGCCTGGGCCGCTGCTGGCTCCGGCCCCGGCCCCGGCCCGGTCGACCTCCTTCGACTCGAGTTTCGCCCGGCCCGCGCGGAGCTTTGCGGTGAAGCGACGGACTTTCGATTGTGGCGCGCCAAACCGGGCGGCCGCCCGTCGGACGAGGGCGGCGCGAGAAGCGGCGCGCGAAAGCCGGCGGATCTGGCGCAGGCGGGACGCTTGTGGTCGTATGACGGCGGCCAGAGGAACCTGTTCCGAAGGCACTCGCTGTTCGTGGACAGTTAGCCCTGCCACGGTAACTCACTGGTGCTCATGTTGCTGCCTTCAACATCTTGGTAAAATGCTCACTCGGCAAAAGATGCAAACTTGTTTGTATTGCGGAACAGGTGCACGAAAAGCGGTCATTGACATGCCCGGACTAAGAGGCACGGGCGTCGCCTGTAACCCGACTATGGCCCGAAAGTCTAAAGTGCATGATCACGCGGTGGACTGCATGAGCGGGGGAGAGCTGCTTGGATGGTGCATAGTCGGGATTATCTACATGCACTCCTCTCCGGGGAACACGGAAGGCGCTGTCACGCTGTGGGTGCGTTCGAGGCGAGTATATGCATGGCGCGCCAAAGAACAGCAGAACATTATCGCGTCATCAGCAGCGCCCGGAATGGTCGGCGGATAACCACGGCTGCTGTGCTGACCGGCAGCCGTGGTGCCCGCCCGAGCCGCGGCCACGTGCTCGGTGGGCGGGGAGTGAGATGCGAGTCACCACCCCTTATCACGGGCTTCTCTGATTGGACTGGTTCCTGCAGCTGCGAACACGCATCGCTCTGATCTGACGCACGATGGTGATTCTGTTGCCGGATGTGTCAAACGTCATCTAAGATCACATACGTCGACGGCCGTCGTCGAGGCTACGGAGCGATGGAAGCGTCTTGCCCACACTGTGATGCACGGTCATGGGAGGTGCCATACTCTCCGTGGAACTTGTTTCCCAGCGTCACGCTATGTAGTCATGCTATGAAGCGACTTTTTCAAAGCTGTGATACTCCCTCCGTTTGATCATTAGGTGCCTCTAGTCTTTCCTAGCCCCCAATAGACCCTCTTCGGGGACGCCGGAAGCTGATCTTCCCAGGCATCGCACCACGCCGCCCAGTCCGGAAGTGTGCCATGGGTGTCGGTGCTGGTCCGATAGCGGGACGGGACGGTCCCAGAAGTGTGCCCTCGGTGCTGGTCCGATAGCGGGGCGCCCAGCTCTCGGTATCGGCGCTGATAGCAGCCGTGGCGATATGGCGCGCGGGCGTGGCCCGGCTCTGAGGGAAACGCGGCGAATACGCACGGCAGCCGCCCGCTGTGGAGTCCGTCCCGCCGCGAGGCACACAGCGTCCACTCCGCAGCTGACGCAGCTTCACTCCACCGACGTCACAGGTGAGAATTCACCCCGCCCCAGGCCACTGGGGTGCCGTCCGCTCTTCCACGGAGCGTGAACCTGTTTGGCAAACAGCATCTGTGAGAAGCTCTTTTGGCGCATAGAGCGTTCCAGTAAAAGAACGGCACACGTGGGAAATCCCTATTCGTTTTATTCTTTGGGCCCCAGTTTCCTTAGTTGCGTTACAAATTCCCGCTACGTTTTAATCGTTTACATGAAATAAGTGGTTCCCTGATCGGTACTCTGAGAACTTTCCTGTTTAGTGCGATTTCTTCGAGTTCTAATTTAGCGCATGTTCTCAGGTACATCCACTTTTTTGTTGTCTGTTCTCTGTTTGACGTTATGATATCTAACGACCAACGGCCATGGTTCAGAAACGACAAGAACAGACCCTCGCGGAGAACCCCGTGGCATTTCACGTCACGAGCCAATCCTGCTGCTCACCTGAGTGCCACCGCTGCCGCTGTACCTCCTAGCTCCGCTGACTGTACCCCTGCGACCGGTCAGATGGCTAGGGGAGAGGGCTCAGGCGAGGGGATGGGCGCCGGCGCCGGTGGCGACGACGGCGGCGGCGCCATCTGGAGCATCGTCTGGCTCATCATCCTGCTGCTCATCAGCTTCTGGATAGCGGGATTCTGCGCTGCCTGGTACATCCTCTTCTCCATCTTCGTGCCGTGCATCGAAGGCCTCAAGGTAAGAGACATGGCAGCGCCGCGATGCTAGCGGCACCTGTTGAGGAGATGGGAGAGGGAAGCCTATCTCATGCCGAGAGAGCGTGTGCTGTCCGTCGACACCATAGTTGTACGCGTACAAGCCGGCAACCTATGACATTCCGCGGTCAGTGATATGTATGGTAGAACATGATATCCTGAAGCGATGTTGCCTTCTGCATTTTCCGTACTGAGTCACAAATGTCATGATTAAGGTTCTCCTTATGCCAAACTATGCTCGGTCAATTCCTGAAAACAAAATGAAATTCATCCAAAGGCAGTACAGATGGATAGGACAGCAAGGGCATCCTCATCTTTATGCCACGAGTATAGCATGCTACGTTTGATAATAACTCACGCCTTTATTCATGCGCACTTCCGCTTTTTATACCAAAAGCTTCCACCCTCATTAGGAAGCCTATCATCCGCAAACTTTGCGGGTGTTTGTTCGTACCTGACCTCATCGTGGCTTCTTTCAGCCCGTCTGCGACATCTTGATGGCAGGAGTTCAGTTCCCTCGGATGTGCTCAGAGAATATGCTGGCTCAAAAGTCCATCGGATAGACGAAGCACAAACTGAGTCAATTGTCACTGGAGCACACGATTTAAGGTGGTGTCTCAGGACGTGGCCGCGGTCGTGGAGCACGCGTCTGGTCACACTCGGGCGTTGAGTGTGCCTCAGATCGTGTGAAAGGATGTTGTTGCCAGTCGGCCACTGAGGTGTCCACCCTATCGTGTACAACGCCACTTCATTACGCCGCTTGTAATAATGCCACTTCATGATTCATGCGGCGTAATCTCGTTTGACATGAAAGAAACAGTCTAAACGCGGACCAGTGCATGTTGTATTTTAATACGAAATACACACCTGCATGTGGCGGTTGTAATCGATGGACTGCGGCTTTAAGCGGTCCTCACGAGGTTCGCATTAACGCACAACGCATGCCCACAAACAAGCCCCACACGCGCGTGCGACCAACGTAGTACCTGCTGTGCGGTCATAGAACCCGCGATAAGATCGCCGCTACAATCGTCCACTCGACACCCTGAGGTGCCGCGCTTTCCTGACTCTCCACGGCACGGGAGAAGCAGTAACCGCCTGAAGCAGCCGGGCCGCTTGGTCTGTGTGGACTGAAGCACCTGGCTGGCAGCGCGTCCGGCACTGCGGTCAGACATGAGATGCCGCTTCACCGCAAAGGCTCCGCAGCGCTCGCCGCAGCGATGTTTGTTACTTGTGACGCACGAGGAGGCGAAGCTCTCCATCAACAGCCTCAGTTTCGCTACTGACAAAACGTGACGACCGAGCGAAGGCACAAGATTGAGTTCATCTGTTGGCGGGTATGACGCGGCACACTCTGAGTCACTGGCTGGGGCGCGCTGCGGGCTCTAGTCGGGAGGATGTCGTCGGGGAATGTCGATGTCTGCGATCGGTCGGTCGGGGGGATGTCTGCGGTCGGGAGGACGTCGTCAAGCGGACAATGACCGCGCGCTATCGCGAGACGCGGTCCGGGTGGCCCGCGCGGGCTGACGCCGACCCGGCCGCCACCTTCCGATATCAGGCGGACGCGACTGCCACCGAACGGCCGCTAAGCCGGGCCACGTGGCCGGCTTTCGATGAAGCTGTTTTCTGGAGGTGTAACACGTGTAGTTGGAGCTGGACTTGTGTGTGGCATGATCGCAACTGTGGTGGTTAGACAACACGACCAGTGACGGCGGTTAACATTATTGCTCCCTCAATAAGATTTACCAAGATGTTTTTCTGTCACTTTCTAAGCTTTCTAATTTGTAATCCCATTCTAAGCTTTTCACAAAAAGCAGCTCACACTCACTTGGAATGGAAAGTGATTCCTCCGCGGCAAAATAATGTAAATTCCCACATTTAAAATTTCTTATTTTGACATCGCGGAGGCGAACTGAGGTAGCCAAATTCCGGGGAAAAATCAAGTTTGGAAAAGTCAACTTTTTCGGCTGAACCCCTAACCGATTTTAGAACTGACATCTCTGTGTTTACTTTTTGTTTTAGGAAATATCGATACTATACAAAGAATGGGTCATGATAAAAGGGAAAATACCCTCCACTTAGCGCAACCTTAGCAAAGTTAGCCTGTCGTCATTGCGACACGTTAAACATCCGCCACTAAATTCTGCCGTTGGCCTGAAATTGCACGATCAGATGGTGGGAGTCAGATCTCACGCAAGCACTGCTAGACATGGGCTGTGATCTCAAAAATCCACCCATTCAAAAGGTTTGGACTCAATCTTAACGACGAAATTTAAAAAAGTAATGTCGGTATTGACCTTTCGACATTCTCTTGCCACTATTTGACACCATTCGAGCACTGGCTATCGACCCGTTGTTGAGGAGCTTTTTCCTTTACCCTTATTCATTGCAGGTGGATTAAATGATAGGTAAAGCGACTTTGGAAAAATATGACAACATTAGAACACAATTCAGAGCCCTAATACAGAACCAACCTCGTCCATTTTCCTCATGTCGTCATCGCAATCAGGTCACTTTATCATAAAAAGTAGAAAATTATACAAACTCAGTCAAACATTTCTGTGCATTTGCTCAGGTACGAAATCCTGATGTTCAAGTGCTAAGACGTGCCAAGTGTGGTAAATGGTGAGATGTTCAAGGTCGTCTGACGCAAGTCGCCATATTTCGGTTGGCTGCATTCACGTCTTGCAGCAAATGTCCGCCATTTGCATCGGCTGAGCTCCAGGCAGCATAGACACGATACTTAAAAACACACGAGTATGTGGTCTCCCACGTGGGCACACTAATCAGCGTGGGCAACACGGCACACGCACGGAATCAAGCCTGCACTGCGGCCGGTGGACATTTTTGCAAGCCAACCCCGCGAGCTGCACGAACTGTTTACAGCTCGCTGCCGAGCCCACGGTCTCCCCTCCCCCTTCCCAGCCCTGTTTATGCTGCCACGTGCAATTTCATGGCACGGTCAGCCCGGGGGCGCCGGCCGCTCCCCGCCGCCCCGGCGTTGTGACGTCATCCATTGATTAGTGACGACACACGGCGGGCATCAGCGCGGCGCGGCGCGCCGGCCGGCGCAGCAGGGCGGCGGCGAGCGGACGCCGTCGACACGTCTCGCGCGTCCCGCAGCGCGCGTCACGAGAACGGTGCGCTCCGCAAACATGGTGAGTACAGGCTGACTCGCGGCTGGGGGCGTCGGACCGTGGCTGGCCGTGAGCTGGCGGGTGGATTGGACCGCGTGTTGATGCGGTGGATCGGACCGGCGGTGGCTGCGCCGGGGCGCGCTCCGGCGCCAGCAACGCCCCCGACCGGTCGGGTGGGATCGCTCTCGGCTGTGTACGGAGCTCTCGAGCGAGTGTGCCGAGCGACCAGGGCCGTGGCAAGCGTCGGAGGTCACGCGGATTGCGGTGCAGAGGTGTACGCCGCCGTTTTGTACAACATGAGGAACCATTAGTAGTTACGAAAACGGACATTTTCCGATCGAGGGTAGACGTAGAAACAAAGGACCGAGAGACCTATGTCCCATTGTTTTGATTAAGTCTCAAACTTGCTATCTACTGTTTGAAACTATACGGAAAGAATAGCATGCAATGTGAGCTTGCCCTTCACACTTGTCGGGACCCTCCGATGCCCCATTCCCTCAGCAAACAGATGTTCACTTTTCGGGGCAAATTGGGACGCGTACGAACTAAATTAAGCATGTCAACCAAGAAGACCTCAGTTTTCCGGGGTTGAAGTGAACAGAGAATGTGGTGTGATCAGTGATGCAGCCCCGTTCAGTCTTGCCATTCCGTATTCGCTACCGACAAGCCCGTATACCTGGGGTCCGCCGTGTGCTGACACCAGAACGACATTTCCCGTTGGCTCCTGATTTACACCTTTAAAAGCGTAATGGTATTGAGGCCTCCATATCAGCGCTCTGTCTGCACGAGCGCTGGGAGCGAGCTCGTAACGTAGCCCTTGAGCGCTGGTTCTCCGCAGCCATCGGTGCACCCTGCGTCCAACCTACCTCCGTCGACGATTTCCGTGACGTTTTCCGCCGAGGCCAAAGTGCAAACGGCAATGGCACAGCGTCCACGATCAATCTGCTACCGGTGACAAACATCCGCCAGCTTCACCGTTTCACACCGCGGAGTGACGCATGTGGACGCGCGCTGCTCGGCCGCGTCGGCGACTGCGTCACCAGCTGCGCCCCGTGTCGCCGGCAGCTGCCGGCCCGGACCGAGGGCGGCGCGGCGGCGCGAGCGAGCGCGCCGAGCGGAGACGGCGGCAGCGGCGGCGGCGGCGGCGGCGGCGGCGGCGGCGGCCAGCCGGCCGAGGCCTCCATCGACGGCCCGCGGTCTCTCGAGTGGGAGCTGAGCCTGGACAGCGCCGACCTGCGCTCGCACGCCTGGTGAGCGATAGAGGAGGGGTGCCGGGGAAGCGAGGGATCTAGGAGGGTCCGCATTTCGCACGCTTGGTGGGGAGGCGTCTAAGCATGATATTGGGGTCGAAGAAGGCCATTGAAGGATGAAGTGTTCACTGTCACGCTGGTCAGGGGCACAGGCGTGGTGCTGGGAAAACGAAAGAGCCCCTGTAACCTCACAGTCCTGGCGCTTGTGAGGGGACAGAGGCGTGGCGCTGAAGACTGTACCCTCCTCCTGGGGATGAAGCGTCCGCGTGCTGACCATGCGGAGAACTAAGGCAGGGCGCTGGAGACGGGAGGTACCCCTGTGAGTCCACCACCAATCGCCGGTACGCCAGTATGCCCGTTACGTCGGCTACCCATAGTTTTTCATGCCCGTTTTGCTGAATGATATTGGTCCTCCGTGTATGCACAAACATGGTCTGCATTAGTTTGAAAGCATTACAGCGTGCCGCCCAGCTGTCAGGTGCCCTCGACCGACCGGGCTGGCCAGTCTGGCAGCTGGGCGCACTAAGCTCCGATGCTTCGCTGCACAGCTGGATCTAACGACGGGCTCTCCAGGTACCACGGCCGCGTCGGTCGGCTCGAAGCCGAGTCCCTGCTCAGCGAGGACGGAGACTTCTTGGTGCGCGAGAGCACCTCCCAGCCGGGGGAGTTTGCCCTGAGCTGCCGCTGGAGCGGCACAAGCGTCCACTTCATGATCAATAAGGTGAGGGATGCGCCACTGTGCTCTTCCGTTGCGGAGCGACAGCCTGCTACCACTACGATGCCCAGTTTGTGCCGATCCTGTGAGGACGCAGCGCCTCCCAAACTCCACCGCGAGCTGTTACCGGCATTCGAGCTTCCGCATTGCTGTCGACGGGCAATGACTGTGAATAACTCCGTCAGCGCGTGAACAATTTCATTTTCTGACCTGTCGCGGCTGTTTGGAAAGCTGCTTAATCAACGATGCGATGAGTTGCTTGTTTATTCGCTGTGCGAATGCAGCAGCAAAGTCCGTGATGATGATTGTGATCAATTGTGAGCGCCGACTGGCTTCTCGCCACACCGTACCGTGCAAGGCTGGCTGACTCGATTCAAGACGTCATGTGTCCCTCCCCTCCAGCAGTGCAGAGACCTGAACCGAGCGTGCGACTTCCCCCCCAGGTGCGCGTGAACCCCGACACCATCTACGAGACCGAGCAGTTCTTCCTGGAGGACGAGCCGTACGAGACGATCCCGCACCTCATCACCAGCTACGTGGGCGTCGAGCGGGCCGTGTCGGCCGCGTCGGGCGCGCGCCTGCGCCGGCCCATCACGCGCACCGTGCCGATCGGCGCCGCCCCGGCCAGCCGGCCTGGCTCAGCCCACCTCAGCTGGAGGCGCACGCTGTTGGGCCGCCACCAGCGCGTCAGCAGCGTCGAGCAGCTGACGGCGGCGCGCCGGCTCGGCGGCGGCGGCCACAGCGGCTCACTGCCGCGCCTGGCGTCGGCCGACGCTCCGCTTTACTCCCAGCCGGGCCGGCTGCGCGGCCCCGGCGCCGCCTCGCCGCCGCCCAAGCCCCTGCGGCGCGAGCAGCGCGTCTACGCCGAGATCCCCGAGCCGGCCGACCCCGGCTCCGACTCGGGCCACGGCTCGGGCGACTCGGCGCATGCGCCGGAGCCGGAGCCGGAGCGGGAGTCGCGGGCAGAGCCGGCGCCGCTGCGGCCGGTCGAGGTGGCGCCACCGTCGGCGTTTGACGTTGACGCGTTCGAGACGCTGCTGCTCCCGGTGACACACAACGCGCCGCTGGACGCCACAGCGCTGAAGGGCGTCACCCTGGAGCTGCTGGAGGTGCCGGCGCGCGTGTTGGCCGCCCACCTGACCTGGTGGGACCTGCGGCTGCTGGACGACGGGGAGGAAGACCTCGGGCTGGGCGTCGTCTCGGGCATCGAGCTGGTCACGCTGCCCCAGGGTCAGCAGCTGCGACAGGACCTGCTGGAGAGGTGAGGGATGCCACCCAGCGCCCAAACGATGTGACACTTTTCTGGGTGTGGGGTACACCGCTAGGGACATAGTTGTGGTGGTCCGATGTGCGACCTGCGCTCTGTCTCCACCGTTGTGGCAAGATATCCAGAACACCCAACGCAGCTTGGTCTGGCGACATCGCGCGTCACACACAACTTGTTTCAGCAAACAGTTTAGATGCGTTTTTTTCGGCGAATATGCATTCGCCTGGAGCTGAGGATATGGAAGTGCTCCTAATGCATGTCTTCTCCACCCGCAGATCCGAATGGTTTTCGGCCTTCGTGATCGCCACCATTGTCAGCCAAGAGGACGAAGACGAGCGGGTGCAGATGATCAATAAGTGGATCAACGTGGCGATCGAGACCAAGACAGCCCTCGGAAACCTGTACGGCTTTGCCAGCATCATACAAGGGCTCTGCTCTCGCCAGGTGAACAAAACTACTTGGAATCAAAACCAAACTGCGAAGGCACCACGCCGATCAAAAGCGCGATCCTTCTGGTGAACCGCGCTTGTCGCCATGACGCTTTAGTCGTAATGCCCGGACGTGTAGCCCGTGGCGCTTTGTCTAGCACTCGTTCCGTCGTAAGTCCCACACCTGGTCTGCCATACACTACAAACAGCTGGACTCAATGTCAAGCGGGCCTGCCATTCCTTGTCGCAGCGAGCAATGGACTGAGTTTCGAGACTGCTGCGTTACAGTCAGTGAAACGACTGAGATTCTGGTCATGATCTAGTAAATGCACTCGGTGTGACAGCTATCAGTGCTAAATCCTTTTGTTCGTATTTTGCTTTTCATGCTGATAACGCTTGTTGTCGTGATAGCAACTCTTCGCTCTTTATGCTGCCTCTGACATTGGGTCTGTCCTCTGGTTGTCAGGTCCAGAGGCTGTACGTCACGTGGCACCGTGCGCGGCAACGCTTCACGGCCGCTGCCGTCGAGTTCGATGCGCAGCTGCGGCCCTGTCTGCGCAGCATGAACGATGGATCCAACGCCGAGGCGCCGAACACGTGCTTTGCCCCATCTGGCGCCGCTGGCAGCGCTGCTGGAGGAGGCGCTGGCGCCGGCCACCACCGACCAGCTGGAGATGGCGCTGCTGCAGCTCTCCGCCGGCCGTCAGATGGCAGCCGAGGCGGCCGCGTACCGGCGCAGCGCGCGTGCCGCCCGCGCCGTCCGCCCGCCACCAGACGGTGCCGGCGCGCGGGACGACATGTTCCGCACGGAGTTCCATCTGTGCTGGCTGCTGGGCAGCCGCGCGGCGCGTGCCGACCAGCACCAGCGTCGCGGCGAGCTGGCCGAGCGCATGCAGCAGGTGCTGATGGTGCTGGCCGAGCAGCGGGACGCCAGTCCCACGTGAAGAGCTCCGCGCCCGTGACGTCATTCCCGCGTGAGGAGCTACGCGTCTGTGACGTCAGTCACACGTGAAGAACTCCGCGCCCGTGACGTCATTCCCACGTGAGGAGCTATGCGTCTGTGACGTGTCACACGTGAAGAACTCCGCGCCCGTGACGTCACTCCCACGTGAGGAGCTCCGCGCTCGTGGCGTCAGTCCCACGTGAGGATTTCCGCGCCCGTGACGTCATTCCCACGCGAGAAGCTCCTTGCCCGTGAGGCTGGCATGATTAGAGTAGCGGGTTGCCCAGCGGAGGTGAGACCAAACTCATGGTATGGACATGAAGTGTGCGACATAAGCCGATTTGGTCGTAATTATACGACAAGGCTGCATTCTAGACAGCCTCTGACGATTCATGCACTGTCAGATACGCGAAAGGTTACCTTGATACCGTTCATTTTGAGGACAACGGACGGCAGGTGTGCAGCCCGCATCACCCGGCTACGTCATACTGACGGCAAGTGTGCAGCCCGCATCACCCGCGTACGTCACACTGATGGCAAGTGTGCAGCCCGCATCACCCGCGTACGTCAAACTGATGGCAAGTGTGCAGCCCGCATCACCCGGGTACGTCACACTGAGGTCTATGCGCTGAATGGCCAAAATCCTTGCTGAAACAAGGTGTGAGCTATCATCGACGCAGACGCCATTTTTGGCGCCACTACGTAACCTGGCAAGATCCGAGAAATATCGCGCTTTATAAGCCAGCGGACTGGTGCACAGACACGAGCAACAACGAGCAGCGGCTGGGCAACCGAACCGGATGTTCGCGCCGTTCTGATGGTGCGAGGCCCGTGAAACTGGGTATACGTGATTAGGGAGGGCTGATGGGAACGTGTCGGCCAATGACGGCTACTAGTCAGTGGGGGAGATATGCCAGTCACCACTTTGAGCTTTCTCGTGTGACGGACAACGCTGCTATGCAACCAGTGCACAAATGTCGGTGATTGCCAACGCTGTTAGAATTTTTTGCCCTTTAGGGCTCTCAGTAGCACTCATGTTTGTTAGTCGCTTCGAGCGCTTTATGTGATCTTCTGCATTATTCCCGTGATATTGACATACCTGATACCTTGCGTGGCGCGATGTCAGTCGAGTAAGGCATCCGACGAGGCCTTGTCTCGCATGCGAGCCGCGCGGCGCCCATCAAACCGTAACGGATGATAGCGCAGGCCCAGGCCGTTGTCCGTGACTTAATACAACGATTTGTAAGCTGTGCTGGCGCGTGTCGTCGTCGGAGGGCTGTCTGGTGATGTAGGCCCGCCGGCGAGCCAGCCCGGTCGCGTGCCGATGGGCCTGAGCCTGGCGGCCGGCGTACGTGCGTGGGGACGACCGGTTCAATGGCCTGGCAGGGGACCCGACCCGCCGTCCCAGTGGGCGGCCCGTGCTCCCCACAAGGCGCGGCGGCAGTGTGAAGGTGGCCACGTGACCGGGGGTCGAAGAGCCGGCGCGGAGCACCGCAGCGAGCTCCGCGGGCGCCGAACGACACGCCGACGTGAGGCGGAATGCGTCTGGCAGACCGGCGTCCCGCCTGCGCGACCAGTCATCATCACCCGGGCGCCAGGTGGTGACGGGAGGCCTGTGTGACGCAGGCGGCGGCGCCAGGCGAGCCTCGGACGACGGGAGACAGCGGCACCGCGGATGTGTCCGTCAGAGGAGCGATATCCGAAACTGAAAACTGAAACGCAGCGACGATATGCAAACAGAGCGCGCTTCAGCCAACGCGGTGTGCGTGCAGTGAGCGAGCCTTTCCCTGGTACCAATTATGATCCCCCAGCCTCTTCAGCTCGCATGTTTGAAGCCTGATTCCGCGGGTTCCAGAACGCTCTTTGCTGGAATGCGCGAAACATTGGAGTAACGAGACAGGCCCGTGAAAATTTATCGTTTAATCAACAGCTTTTAGCCAACTCAAGCTGCATGCGTGCACGAACGACTGGTTAAGCAAACGTTAGAACCTAGTTCACCACGTGAGAGTTCAGCTAGAATGCACGAAAAATGCCAGGCTGCCAGCAGTGGATTCCGAATGACTGGTGCGACTTAAGGCGGGCGATTTAACAGCAGCGAAATGTCTGTATGGAAGTGGATTGAACGCAACGCAATGCGCGGCCATTACAATGTACCGTCGATCCGGCACGAATTCTTAGCTATGGATTCTTCGGACGATCAAATAAGATGTTTGCTTGCGGAATAGTTTCCATTTACATGCCTTCAGGGCGGGTTCACGGTGGGTGACGTGACTTACGTAAAAAACTCATTACTTAGACGACTTTAAATGCACGTACCGAACTGCGTTTAAGTACTTGCGTTAAGCTTGTAGGAAACGTAACGTTAACACAAGATTCCCTTGACCCTTTTCACAAAATCAGTGCTCACCCATCTCCGGCCTGGTCTCCTCTCAACAATGGCCCTAAATGCGATCCGCCATCCAGGCACATGCCGAGGACAGTGATGCGTTTTTGGAGACGATATGGGAGTTATGATGCCAGCGTCACTTCTACTTAACCACGTCCTGGAGTCATTGAGAGAGTAATGTATGGATAATGCTATATTTCGCTGATAACATCGGGTGCGCGTGTCACGAATATCACAATGCAACATTCGTCACCGAGCAACGTCCCACCCGGAGAACGAACGTACCCTTTACAGCGTCACGGCGCGCAGACGAACACCACACTGACACGTTCAAGCATAATCACCACCCGATCTGGCCATTATCATCACAACTCAAGTCACAAAAACCGCACCAGCTGTTTACTTACACTTCGCTTTCGCTTCCCTCCGCCGCATTAGACAAGCCAGCAGCCTGCCAACGCGGCGTCGTCACAGCCTGCCACGGGCGACTGGCCGCCTGCTCCGA